ATGTCTCTCAACAACCTCCCATTATTCTGAAAACCCCACTTCACAGGGGATGTCTCTCAACAACCTCCCATTATTCTGAAAACCCCACTTCACAGGGGATGTCTCTCAACAACCTCCCATTATTCTGAAAACCCCACTTCACAGGCGATGTCTCTCAACAACCTCCCATTATTCTGAAAACCCCACCATATTTTTTTCAACCACGACACTTTTTAAAAATCCCACATCCTAGTAGCAGTCAAGGACTGCCACAACTGACTTCACAAATAGATCATTTGTCCAAAGCTTGGAAAAAAAATGTGTGTGGGGGGAGGGGGTGTTGTTTTTTATAATAGTAGAGGGTTTTACGGCGCTCGCAACTGCATAAGGGGAAGAGAGTACTGTAGTAGCCCAATATATACTAAACAGCCAGTCCACTGGAGTCTCAATCAATGTTAGGAGACCTCACAGTCTGAGAGCCCACATGCATCAGCTTATAATATACTCACAGCATGTATTTCCCGGACACAGAACACTTTCGGCCCACTCAGCTCCCACCAACCGCCAGGAATTAATCAAACTCAAACAGCACAAATATGAATTCATAAACAAACCAAAAAACAAAAAAAAGGAAAAAAAGGTTAAAAACTACACCATGTAAACCAACAGTCACAACTGACTCAAACAAACAAAAAATACTTTTTCAATTTGTCAGAATACAAAAAGCTTGCAAGCCACACCATGCCCTTCACATATTTTCCACTGTGCTATGAATATAATACAGATGTAATGCAGGAACTCTTTCAAAAACAACTCTCTCAGAAATCGATAATTACACAGCGCAAAAAGACAAAAAAATAAAATGTATATATACGAATATATATATATATGTATATATATAAATTGCAAAGATCAGTTTGCACTAACTCCTTATGTATGATGTTCACCAGCCCAAAATGATAGAATCCTCACGGACGTTGTCTACTCCCAAACACACCTCTGGCTCCTCCCCTTTTCTGTCACTCTCACCAGACTTGACACCTACAGACGGACTCGACTCCTCCCACAGCTATTCCCAGTCTTATTCCAGGAACAAGGCCTTTCTTTCTTTCTCTCTCTCTAATTCTCTCTACCCTCTAGTATGAGGAGACCAAGCAAGCAGAATCTCCCGGCACAATGTGGGTGAGCAAAATGTACAGATGGAGAGTAGATAACCCCCCCCCCTCCCCCAATACACGAGAGAGAGCATCATTGATGATATGTAGCAACACGACAAAATCAGGCAGGCTCTTGCCACACTCAGATGTTTCCAAATGCTGATCAAAGCACCCATTTTTCTCACAACTATCATGTTTCCCACTGGCCAAATTCAAGCGGCGACAACTTTGGAACAAAATCCGCACGGCTTGACATTGGGTTCACCCACTTCTCAGGCTCGGGCGGATGTTTCATTTGACAGTCGTTGTGCTATTCAGACAAAGCACGGCACGCCACTCGTCAAATTGCTGTCATGCTGCGGCACATTTGATCATACACGGGTCGTTTGGTGCAGTCAAACACACTCCTCCCACCCCCCCACGGTGTCAGTCTGTTCCCTTCCACTAGCACAGAGTTCACCACTACACGGTCACCACTAGCACAGAGTCCACCACTACACGGTCACCACTAGCACAGAGTTCACCACTACACGGTCACCACTACTAGCAATACTCTCCACTCTCTGGATCATCACACGGCGGCGGGGGGGGGCATGGGGTCATAGGTCAAGGATAGCCAGACGAGCTCGCACACAATACTAAACCCAATGTGGGCAATTTCCCAACTCCACTCCGACCTCACAGAGAACTAGTCTCCTAGTCTCAAGGCTGAAGAAATTTGGAACAGACTCTCTCTAGTCTCTCTCTAGACTCTCTCTTCATTTCCACCATGCTGACGCTTCACCACTAGACAACGTTGCCGCGGCAACATCTCATTTCATTCCAAAGCTGACATCGCCTCAAACGATCTTTTCCCCTTCAAACATTGTTCCGAATACTGCCGAGTCAAAACCGCATTCTAAACCAAACCCCAAAACAGTAGGATCTCTTCATTCAAGCTAGATCTTTCTGCAAAAACAGGTCATCTTCTCCCCCCCCCCCCCCCAAGTCTTTTTTCACTTTTAGAGTACACCTCCTCCTTTGTACAAAGAGCTGTGTCTATCCAAGTCATCCAGCACACACATTCCAGTGTCTCTCCCCTTTCAGGCGACACAATCCACAAACATCTCCATCACTTGTACTTATCGCAAAGTCTCAATCAGTTGTTGAAATATTTCTTTTTTTTTTTTATTCTTTTTTTTAATTTCAAAGAAGAAACCAACCAGGAATAGACTCGCAGACAGGACAGAGAGACACTGAGAGACCTACACTGACATCACTATATATACACACAGTTTTATCGCTTCCTTGGTATAGACTATATCATAATGTTCATTATTTTCCACACAAACATCACTGATACCATAGAATCAGAATACACCAATACACATGGGAACTTCACATTAAAACAAGAGCAATACATTCAAGATTCATATTGCAATAGCAGAGTCAAAGAACAAAAACAAAAGAAAAATCAAGACAAAAAACAGTGTTTTTAAATACATCACCGAACAAACAAAAAACCCAAACGTTTTAAAATTCAAATTTGTAGCAAAATATATTCAACAATAAAGAAAAGGAGGTAACTAAAAAAATACTAGCTACATTCAAAATCTGGGATGCCAAACTGATAGACCAGTGCACTTTTCCCATCTCAGGAGATAGAACAAGGCACAGTTTCTGTACAAAAGTGAGGAGAGAAATGTTACATGGAAAATCAATTTTCAAGACGAAAAAAAAAAAAAAGATGAATATGGACAACCTATCTTTTACTTTTTTTTTTTTTAAAGAGAAGAAGAAAAAAATCTATGGAAGGGGGAGGGCAAAAATAAAATCTAACTGACTGCAGGTACATCCAGATATAACTTCATCCTCATAACATTCCACAAAACGATAAATTTTTGTTAAAAAAAACAAAAAACTATGAGGTAAATGCTGAATTTACACCATGAAATACAAGAGTCACTGGTTGTCCCCGATATAAAACGGTACTCTGTTCTTCCAAGGCCCGCTTACACACTTCCTTGCAGCGACAGGCAAATTATCTCGAGGTTTCCCATATATCTAGTGTGAGGCAGTGAGTTATATCGTCGTCATCATCATCATAGTCGTCTTTAAGTATAAAGCATGCACAAGACCCAGACACTATCTTCCCTCATTATAACACACTCTCCAGAGAACAACATCATCACCATTATCATCATCATCATCAGAACTTCTCTCACTCTATTTGTCAACTTTTTTTCGTCGTCCTCTTCATCCCCTCTCATGTATCAACGAGCTGAGCAAAACTACTCAAGGTAAAAACATCACTCAAAAAAAAAAACCTGTGGTCAACCGCCACGTCATCCAGATTCTTTTTAGAGTTAAGAGGACAAAACTCATGCACGCATCTCATTATTATCATCAGTAGTTTCAACGAGTAAATAAAAATGCTGCAAGCAGTCTGTCAATCAATGAACTTGAGGAGGGGGGGGGGGGGGGATTTACAGCACCGAGTCTATGAGGAGAGGGGGGGGAACATTGGTAAAAACATAGCCAGCCCTCCATCAACTTGATCATCCGAGGAGGGGAGATGTAATCACCACAGGGTACCTAACACGCTCAACAAGTATGGGAAAAAACCCTTGGTACCACAAACTCTTGCAAAACCCAACGACTTACTTCCAACTTTCAATCTGATCTCTCATTCTTCTCCGAGTAAGCTGCACTGCTTTCTTTTTATATGTCTTTTGCCATTTTGAAAGATTGAATCAAATCAATGGAAATTTCACGGATGCATATATCGATACTGAATATTCAAGTGTTTGCCTCATAAGTTAGTCCTCAGTATACGTACGCCCTGTTGCCACATACTCTTCCAACAAAAAAAAAAAACATTTACCTGAATCCTTCCACACTTTTCATCAGATATATTTTATCTCTGCACACAAAAAATGTTTTGGTTTTTTTCCAATCGTACAAATGACTTTCTTTCCAGTCCCATCTATTGAGCCGTAAATCTACTACTTTCAACCAAGTAAAAGGTTAAATAAAAATAGCGTAAGAAAATACACTAAAGATTTAAAAAGGCAAAAGCACGAGCTTCAGCTATACTTTACTTTAGAGAAGATCACTACATTCCCCCAACCAATTCAGAATGAGGTTGTTTTTCATGCGAAGTAAAGGAGTAGTATTCAATCTTTAGCTATAACGCAGATACATATATATATATATATATCAAGAGAGTTCTGACACAAAAAGGAAGGAGAAAATAAAACAGCATCATGCAATCAAATCTTAGCTTTAAAAATAGTAGTATAAATAAATTTTTTAAAAAAAATATTTTTAAAAAACCAGAGAAAAGCAGAAACAAACTAGAAGGAAACAAAGGGAGTTGGGGACGGTAAAAAACCCAACCCCTGTTTAAACAGCCACTCAAATTTTCCCCGCAAAAAGCAAACAAACTCATTAAACAAACGCACACTAATTATCAAGACAAATTCTTTTTAAAAAAAAAAAAACAGACAAAACAACATTAAACAAAATTCATCATCACCACATCCTCATTGTCATCTCATCATTATCATCATCATCATCATCCACAACAGCCGTAACCGTTATCATCATCATCATCACCATCAGCCATCAAATCATCAATCATATCATCGAGTCAGAGGGGGGGAGGGGAGGGGCTGCGCTTCTAGGTTAGCTCCATCCACCCTCTTCCTCTTCCTCCTCACCACACGCACACACGACACACACCACACACAACGCAGCAGTGACGCGACAGCAACATCAGCGACACCAAAACAGCCAGCCACAGCCAACCAACCAACCCACCCATCCAATCCAATCAGTTCCATCCCGAGGTGGCCTTAGGCACCGAGCTCCAGTTGGGGATCTGACTGGTGGCCACCGTGTGCTGGGGCACGGGGGCCGGGTGCATCTCCGTCGTCTGGCTACCCCAGCCCAGGAAGCTGTTGTTGGCCGTGGCCCCTGCCCCGGGGGTCACCACGCTGCCGTTGCTGGCCGCCGTGCCCGTCCCGCCCATGGGGGCGGCCGGAGCATAGGAGGAGCCGCCCCCGCTGGCCGACATGCTATGTGGAGCAGCAGTGGTAGTGACCGCCGCCAGAGGGTCCCCATTGGTGGTGGCCCCAGCACTTTGATGGGTGAGGCCAAGCGGACCCCAGCCCGTCTGGCTGCTCAGGACTGCCTGGGCCGCTGCCAGCATGGCATGGTTGAGCTGGAAAGTAAGAAGACCAGACAACAGGCTGAAAACAGGAGCGGCTGCTTCATAGTCGTACGGAGAAAACAAGGAAGGGGAAAACACATATCATGAGAGCTCTGACATGCTGCCAACGCACAATACATACATTGATTGAAAGGGGGTGGGGGAAGAGATAGTGTGGGGGGGGTGGCGCTACACAGAACACACATGGTGTGAAGATGGAAAGAGCTGGGGGCAGCAATAGAACACACATGGGAGGTAGGGGGAGCACATAGAAAACACACACGATAGTGGGGTGTGGGGGTGGTAGCACCACTCAAAGCTCTCATCATGTGTGCACACAGCAGAGACAGTGCAGAGGACACCCACAAAGGCAAAGGTTCATTTACACTACCACCATTGAGTCACTTAACTCTTTTTATCCTAGCCGTACCCCCACGGACTCTGTACCCATCCTGGGGCTGCCGCGCCGTATGAGTCGGAAGTCAGTGCGTATAGTTCAAAGTGCTATATTTCTTACTTTTACTCTACGGTTTTAAAGGAAATTTGGCAGTTATGTTAGAAATTGAATGTAGTTTTTTTTTTAATGTATGTGGTTAGGAAATACACCAATAGCACAATGTAGACTTTGAGGTGTATTCCACCCTCGAACTTGACCCTGATTGCGGCGCCCACGACATCCCACTGGATTTTATACATATCTAGATCTAGCCCTACCCATCGAGCACGAATTCCAGTACTGACCCCTTCACCATGATCTGAATCGCTATCTAAATGAGTCTAAGTCATGTTTTTTATCATCCACAACGGAATTTACGGCACTTATTTCAGAGTCACTATCATCAAATTAGTATCATTCCCCCTCACAACCCAGCGCAACTTCAAAAAGTACTTCGTCGGTCGTGAATGTGCGTTTTCGAGACATCTTTCAAGCTTCTACACCCATCAAAAACAAAGAAAATTGGAAAATTAAAATATTCAGACAGAGCTAGCATCGCCGTATTTGCGTATTTTGGTAATAACAAGCAGAACTAGCTTCTTTGACGAGACCGTATCGCTGTTCCGAGTATACTCGTAGCCCGGACTGGTCCTCGTTACGAGTATACTCGTAGCCGGGATAAAAAGAGTTAAGTGCCCAAGTTTATGAGATTCTTCTCACGAGAAAGTAAGGGACACAGTCTTTCTCGAGTTCTACTGTATGTTTGAGTTAAGAAAAACGCATCAACTCTAGAAGATAAAGATGGTCAGTTAGTTTTGTTTGATAGCATTTGCAACACAATTAGGTCACATAAATGCTGAAGATTATACTTAGTTTTAGTAAAAGTTTTACTGCACTGGCAACACAATAGGTCATGTAAGTGCCAAAGATTAGAGGTGTTACAAGAGTAACAAGCACGAAAAAAGAAGGAGGGCAGATAAGGAAGATAGATGTAGAATAGGAAGGAAGGAGCAAACCACACCAGAGCACCCGCCAAATACCCACCAAAGATTAGAAGTGTTACAAAGGAGTAACAAACCCCAAAAAAGGAGAGATAAGGACGTACTCCTTCATAAGACAGAAAAAGTGACCTGTAACTATAGTAAACACTATTAACCAAACAAATATACACACCAATTAAACCAAATTTCTCCTATAGGTAGGGCAATGCCCACTTTTAGAGTAGATCAAGATTTCTGGAAATCCCTGAAATCTGGGTTAGCCCTAAAGCGACCATTTGGAAGCTACAAAATACTTCATCCCTTCCACTCCAGAGTCTTTAGACAGGTACCACACCACCATTTCAAACCCAGACTAATTTTTACAATTTTTTCTTTAACCCTCTAGCGTGTAACCCGGGAGAAACCGGGACTAAAAATAGAACCGCTACGCGTTTAACCCGGGAGAAACCGGGCGAGATCTGACCCCGCGCTGCACGGCCGACCCGGGAGAAACCGGGACGACACACCCCCGTACATTCAATTTAACTTCTAACCACAAAGAATGACTTCCCGTGTCTTTAAATAGTCATGATGTCATCTAGGATATTATGGGATACCTCCGGTCCAAATAAACCGCTAAACAGCTGGGGTTGAACGGTTTGCGCGTCTTTCAAAACACTCGCTGTTTCGTGACTCTGACTATCAGCTGCTCCGACCGACGTTCTCTACCTATCTACTGCTTTTTGAAAACACCACACGATGGAGGAAGACAGAAGAAGTGACACAGAGCTTGATGCTGAGTCTGACATTGATGTTATAGACACGGAGGATGCTGTATTTGATGAGGAGGTAAGTGAAAAGTTAGTTTTTTGTTGTTGTGTGCTGGGAGAGGTGGACTGGAGATAGGCACACACAGAGGTCAACTAACAGCTCGCTATGGAGCATGATGCTTCATCTATTCCTAGAAATGCTACACTTGAATTTCATTTAGATCTAGATCTAGAATCTAGTTCTCATGTTGAGAATGTGCTGTTTCTAATAGTTCATAGATTATATTATTTATATCTAGATTACCTGGGTCTAGAATTTTTTTCAAGACCTAAATCTAGCCGCCTTCCATGGTCAACTTTCTTGCTCTTTGTTCTTTCACTAGAATTCTAAGCCTACTGTTTACTTTGTGCCAAGTGCTCTACCTTCAGAATGACAATTACAATTCCATTGTACATTGGTTATATTTATAGATCTATACCTTTAGTTTTTTCGTTGCGAACATTATACTTGTACTTGGATCTAGATTCTAGATATCTAGTACTACACTTTGAACTAAATCTAGATCTAGATCTAGTCTTTTCCGTGGCGAACATTCTTTGTTTTTTCACTTGCTTTTATTCGTGCGACTGCTCTACTTTCAGACTGACTAAATTATTACAATTCTATTGTACATGGTGTATCTTTTGTTTTGTATGAGAACTTACACCTGGATCTAGATCTAGTACTACACACTTTGAACTAGATTCTTTTCTAGATCTAGAATCTAGATTTAGTTAGTCAATCATGTTCATGGTCAACCTTCTTTGAACATTCTTTCACTTTTGCTGTTTTCTTTGTGCCAACTGCTATACTTTCACTCTGACAATTACAAAATTATTTTACTTGTGTCTTATCTTCTGTTTACTCTTTTATTTTTCTGCAGCCTGAGGCTGGTGATGGTGGTGCTGCTGCCGCTACCACTGAAGGAAATAATCAAGGTGCGGCATGGAGGGAAGAGGTGTCCGACATTACGATGCTGGACTTTCAGCCTTAGTCTGGGCCTCGGCACGACCTTGCCCGAAACGCCTGCCCCCTGGACTTCTTCCTCCTCCTGTTTCCGCTGACATTGGTAAACATCCTGGTGGCAGAAACGAACCGGTACGCCCAGCAGTGTTTGGGACCGGAGAACGCCAGCAGTTGGACAGCAACTACAACAGCGGAGATGAGAGCCTTCCTGGGCATCCAGATTATGTTTGGCGTTCGGCAGCTGCCTCGGCTCTGGTGTTACTGGAGCCAGGACCGTCGCTTCAACGATCCTTGGGTTTCCTCCATCATGCCGATCAAGCGCTTCAAGGATCTCAGCAGGTATTTTCACTGCAGGGACAACCAGCACCAGCCGCAGCGTGGAGAGGAGGGTTTCGATCCCCTCTTCAAAGTGAGAAATGTGATTAACGCTACAAAGGAAACATTCACAGCCTGTTTTCAGGCTGGCCGGGAGTTGAGTGTGGACGAGTGCATGGTAGGGTTCAAGGGTAGGTTGTCCTTCAAGCAGTACATGCCTGCCAAGCCTACTAAATGGGGGGTTAAAATTTGGACTGTGTGCGACTCTAAAACTGGATACTGTCTTGGGTATGATATTTATACAGGGAAAAGCAGCCGAAGGGATCCTCGGAAACCTCTCGGCTTTGAAGTGGTGGATGGCCTGTGTACGTCGTATTACGACAAAGGCCATCATGTGTACATAGATAGGTTTTTTAATTCTGTGGACATCGCTGTGCATTTGTGTGCAAACAATACATATATGTGTGGCACCATCATGACAAACAGGAAAGGGCTCCCTCCACTGATGAAGACAAAACTAAAAACTAGGGGAGATGTGAGGCAACTTCAAAAGGGCAATCTTGTTGCCACGTTATATCATGACAAGAGAACAATTTGTGTATTATCTTCAAATCAGATTGCTGGTGTTGCAGCAGATGGTCGGCCCCACTCACTTATCGACTACAACAAGTACATGGGTGGGGTCGACAAGTTCGACCAACAACTCTCGTACTACCCCGTTGGGAGACCTGGCAAAAAATGGTGGAGGTACATCGTTTGGCACCTCATCAACGCCTCCATCTATAATGCGTATGTGTGTTGGAGCCAGACTCCTCGTGACTACGTCGCAGCAAAGGGGTACGATCACTTGAGCTTCCGTGTAGATGTTGCCGAGGCTCTGGTGAATGGTTTTAGCTCGAGGAAACTCCCCGGACGGCCTGCAACTATCCAGGGGACTGTGGCCCCGGAGAGTTTCCAACGGCATCACTTCACTCGTATTGCTGGGCGGCCTAAACTGTGTTTTGTGTAGTTTAGAAGCGAGGAAAACTCCAAAAGGCCGTCCAGTAGAAACGAGCTACAAGTGCAAATTTTGCGAAGTTGCCCTCTGTAAACTCATATGTTTTGGAAGGTACCATGAACTTGGCCTTGCCATCCACAGGGCTTCCACGAGAACACTGAGAGAGTGACATTTTTTTTATCTTACCTGTATTTTTATACAGTTTACTTTGATTTTTTTTTTCAATGTGTGTAGTATTAGTAGTATGTGAATTGGTGTTGTGTGCAAAAAGTTTATAGTGTTGTGAAATTCTTATATATGTGGACTTCGCAAGAACTGTACTGTAAGTTGGTTTTTACATTATTAAACTTTTCCTTTATTTCAATCCTTAGTTTTTCTTTCTCTGACTTTATACGTTATTGTAATTGTTGTTCTTTGATTGGGTATGCCATAAGGCCAGCTGGTATCATGTAATATGAACTAGTCTATTATTACTATTGCTCGGTGAAGATGACACTGCCGTGGGTATATCTGGCTCTTTATTTGGTATGGGTGGGGATTTTTCAAAGCCATTCAATGACTTAGCACCCAGGTGGTGATGAACTATAAATTATGTGGTCCTGCCTCTTAAAAACTGTGGTTTAGAGGTACAAATGCTTGTCATATATATCCACATTGTGACATAACAACATATTTGCACTTATAGGTGTGAATCAATGTGCTATAAATCTAATGCACACAAAAATAACACTTTTTAAATGACAGAATGTCATAGAGCATTCATTTCTCTGTTGTCATGAGAAATTTGAAAGTTGTAGATTGTATAGTACATTTTAAATACATTTTTTCCTGAACCACCCTAGACAAAGCTGCCAGAAGCCAAAATAATGTAAACACACAAGGCAAGGTCAGCTGGGCAGGAAGTGGAACAGTGCAGTAGACATGGCTTATCAGTTATCTGCCCACTATAGGGTTAAACTTTCTGATAAGAAATTAAATTTCCCCACATTATGATATATATGGTCGCTTTTAAGGACAAGTGGGCTAACCCAGATTTCGGGGGTTTCCAGAAATCTTGACCTAAACCAAAAGTAGGCACTGCCCTACCTATAGGAGAAGTTTGGTTTCATTGGTGTGTACATTTGTTTGGTTCTTGACAAAACTCTCCTTGTATTTCAGCACATTACACCCTAAGGGTCTGGCCGGGAAGTCCATTGTTAGATCCTAAGCAAGGGGAAGGAACCCACCTCCCGTGAATACTAGCCTTTAAAAAACACATTTTAAAAATACTGAACAAATTCCAAAAATCCTGAAAAAATCAAAGTTAAAACGAATATGAATGTAGTTTCAGAAAAATAAAACTTTATGTATGCGCAAACTGTTGGAAATGTTCTAACTTTGGTTCAATCGGGGTGTCCGACCCGTCACTCTCACTCTCAGCCTCGCGGTCGGGTCCCAGATCTAAATTCTAGATTTTCTACGTCTGATCAATCTGAATCGCCCCAAACTCTTGCTACAACGTTTTCGTCAAAATCCGAGTCATCTGATTTGTCACATGCTTGTTTTTGCTCAATTCCATCGTTATTTCCTTTTTCGAACTCAATTGTGTGGCTTGTCAACAAGTCGAGACCCTTACGAAGTGTCGGTAAAGCAATCGCACTTCTATCGGCTCTAATAGTTCTAATACTAAAACTACATAGACCTGCATGTGAGCCTCAACCAGATTGAAAATTTTACGCAACCCCCCCATAAGAGCTTTTGTGGGTGTCATAAGGAAGAACTTTCTCTACTTAATGAGCAACCACCCCAACAAACACAATAAAGAAGAGACCTAACCCTAATCCTACCCCTAGGCCAACCCCAAAAAAGAACCTGCAACGGGCCTCATGTAAAAAGGCCAGCACATGTCCAAAAAGAAAAAATGTAAAAAATTAAAAAACCAGACTCCAAAACAAACAAGGAGCATAATATGGCCTACATCTACATTGCTATAATCGGATTTGATACAATAACAAAACAGAATTGGAATTTGAATCCTCTATATAGATCTAGTAATCTAAATAAATCAAGATCTAGATCTTGTAGAACAAGTGAATAGGAATAAGCCTTGTACTAGAAATCCGCATCCGATTCCGAACAGAGGGACTCAGCTGAGTCTAGATTCTAAATAAATAAATAATTCCATTTTTACGCACCGGGTCAAATGCTTTTTTACCAACATTAATATTACAGCACAACCTATGATAGGGTTTGACACAATAGAATTGGAATATGAATCCTCCATTGAGTTCTATAACGATCTATATAAATCTAGATCTAGATTCTATTAGAACAAGTGAGTCGGACTTGAATGAATCCACACGATCTGAACAATTGAATTAGTCAACAAACGAAATTCAAAATGGCGGCTTGAGCACGAAACTGAAAGTAGATAATTTAGGTCGTCGTTTTTTTTTTCGTATTCGCATTTCTACTCAGGTTCCGACAATTATGTCGGAAACGCCGACGTCGGCACGAAAACGAAAGTGCCGACAAAGCCGACTGGAAAAAAAGGGGGCGCTGGCAGTCGGCCAGGCCTCGCACTACCCACATTGACTGATACAGGTAGGCCTAGCGATAGCATCGGCTGGCTGGCGGGTCGGGTCGCGATTGTCGGATTTCAGACGATTGTCGGCAAACATGCAGGTCTAAACTGCTGGCCCGAAAAATTTCGTTTCAGTATCAAACGAAAGAAGAAACTTTTTGCTGTAACTATGCAAATCAAAATCTCGGTCCCAGAGTTTCGTCAAGGTGAGACCTCGTTTCTAAAGACGCTAGGTCAGCGCGGGCGGTTCCGGGCGAGTCAGGGTGGAGCGCGTAAAGGAATTCTCAGGCGGTCCCGGGCGAGTTAGGGTGTAATGTGTAAAAGAAACTGAACAAGGGGCAAAAACTTTACCTTCGATCTTCTCAAAACAGCATTTTTCGGGATAGCCCCATTGTGCTTAAAAAAAGAAACCATACATCACTCTAGTTTCTCTGAAAAAAATTAGAAGTAAGTATTTTTCATACTACAAACAGGAAGGGGAAAAATGGACGCCACCACGGCTTGGTCGCATAGAGGAAAATAAGTCCAGTTGAGAAAGAGTGAGAAGAAGATAACAGTGAAGCAGCTATATCTCCCACAAAAAGGTGGGCCCATATCATTTGTCCTTTGAACCAATAGTCCAGTTGGGAAAGAGTGGAAGAGAAGACAACAGCAAAGCAGTCTGTTTGGGTTTTTTTACCCCCCCCCTACAAAAATGGGAAGCCCTTTATCACTTTCCCCTTGCACCTGAGGTCCAGCGGCAGTCAAAGGAGTCGGTCCACCTACCTGCAAAGCTCCCAGGCCCAGGTTACCGATGCCCATGTTGTTGCCCATGCCGGTGGCCACGCTCATGTTGCTGCTGCTGTTGGGGTTACCGCCTCGGCCCGGCCCCCACGAGCCCTGGTACGCCATGTGACCGTGGTTCGGGACCATGCGACGATCGTACCTGAAAGAGAATACGCATACATGATTCAAAGTCTCTGTTTGCTCCCAGCTATATTCTAATTTTCGACCACCGAGTTTTCCTTCAAGCTGGACAAAGCATAGTAACACCGGTCTCCACTTTGTGGGGCAAAGCCATTTCACTATCAAGGTTTTGTTTAACCCTTTTATCTCCAAGGGTGGTAAACCCACTAAGCCAGGGCCTTCTTTTGGTACAAAATCTTAAAACAAACTAAATTGGTCATCAAATCAAAACAAATGAACCTATTTTGACAGTTCTTTATCCAATGAAAGAACTCCCATTTTCATCAATTGCTGAAAACACAAAGAGGTTATATAACACTAGAGCTCGCAGCAGGGACGTCACACATGTCAGAAATGGGGGCCTTCTAACCCTCATCCGCATGGCCAGCGTGCCCCCATTTACATGAGCAGCCTGGGCCCCCACCCCATTCCTCACAAGCTCTACAAGGCTGCCACTCAGGAATTTTTAAAAAAGAGGAAATTCACACGAAGGCGTACCCGCGTTCTCCAAAGGCCGGAGTAAAACCAGTGAGATTCAGAGGCAATATCTTGGAACATCTATATTTTTTTAAGGGAAAGTGTCATATTTTTTTTAAAAAACAAATCAAGACACTAACAAGCATTTGATCCAGTTCGGTGACTAAAAATCCAGTGTTAGTGGCCGGCTAGTGTGTCATAAAAAGATTTCTTTCACTTTCGACTTGTGCAACAATGTAGAGCAGTATTGGACCTTTGCCACTGTACGAAGTACGTGATTTCTTTATCGCACAAAAGGCAAAGTGCAACGACTGGCTCGTCCAACTTTCGAAGGAACTGTTGCAGTCACACACCGTCTGCTTCTTTCTCAATCTAGCTCCAATTATTTTTGCATTCAGCATCAATTTCTCTCGAATTTCCACCGTTTTCACTGACAACTCTGAGCACCATAGGCTCGATCGACAATCGACCCGTCGCTCCACAATAAACAACGTGAAACTTTAACACTAGGCATTACGCACAGAACGCAAGTAGTGAGCTACAAGGGGACAGGCGTAGGCCGCGTTTACGTTCGGTGTTTTCCGCTTGTAAAAAAAGTAACACAATTTGCTACCGAGAGTGATCCAGCGGAGGAAAGTGGCACGAAAAGCTAGATGAAGCAGAGGAAGCCGAGTTTCCGCTATCTAGTGGAAAATTGGCAGCTATGGCTCTAGTATATTACACACCACCCTGCCCCCATATTTCAGAGCAAGCTTGTAGATTTCCCCTTAAGACAGCCGAGACGCCTCCACGTGAGTCTCGAAAAGTACTCACCCATCTGTTGAACTACGCATGTCCTGCCCTTGAGATTCAGCGTCTTAGAGTGGGCACACACAGCCCCCGTTCTTTTACGTGGAAGACAACACTGTCACGAATTCTAGAACTAAATATAACCTCTTTGTGGAAACTTAATTTGACATCGAAGTCGTCATAAAGGAATGACCCAAACCACGAGAGTATTAGTTTGTTCCTTTGGTTTGTGAAAAGAGCGGCACTTTGACAAATTAACAATACGAAATGTCACTCATTTTGTAGGAATAACCGAGTATTTACAAGGTTGCATTTGCAAAATACAAGACTGTTAATAGATAAAACTAATATGTGGTTAAACAGAAAACAAATGCTCAGAATAACCAAAAATTTCAGCAGAAAAAGCTAGAAATATCGGGGGGGAGAGGGGGGAGAGAAACAGAAAAAGCATCCAAAACCAGTTTTTTACTGCAAAGAAAGAAAGGGCAAAACAGACGTACAGAAAGAGAAAGAGAGAAAGAGAGAAAGAGAGAAAGAGAGAAAGAGAGAAAGAGTGGAAGCAGTGACAGACTACACGTTCTTACTTCTCGCTGGCCTTAGGAGCGGCGCCACTGATGTGGACACTAGCCCCCTTGATGATGTGGTCCTCCCCACACAAGGTTTGAGCAGTCTCCGGGTCAGCAAAGCTGACAAAAGCGAAAGCTCGGAAGGGCTTGGGGATGAAAACGTCCACCACCTCGCCGAATTTGCTGAAGTAGTGACGTAGGTCTTCGGCCGTCATGTCCTCCGTGCACCTCCCCACAAACACCTTGCGATTCATCATCTGCTGAGCTCCTTCCTAGAACAGATGATAAAAGATGGATGATCTTGACCGGACACTGCGTGACTTATGGCATACATCAAAATTATTTCCTGTTAAATACCTGCTCTCTCTCTCGTAGACCACCTCATCTCTACAAGCACACATCTGTAATTTTCCATTTAAGCAAATAGAAACAAATCCAATGCCGTAAAGAAGAAAATAAGTTGACAACAAAGTTGGACTTATCAACAATACAAAACAGCCCC